GAGCCCCGAATGCCCCGCAGCGGGGACGGCCCCAGGGGTCCCAGGGCACAGGGAGCCGGGGGGAGCCCCATCCCTGAGCTGCCCAACCCCAGCCCTGCCATGTCCCCCTGCTCACCCACAGTCTGAGCTACCACTTGGGGTGGGGACAAACCCCCTGCCATGGGGATGCGGTTGGGGACAGCCTCCAGAAGGAAGCCTGATGGCTGCCATAACCCTGCCAAATGAGCCGAACAGCTCGCAGAGACGAGCCGAACAGCATCCCCCTCGCTCCCGCCAGCGGACCAATCTCCCTCCCCCTCCCCAATTTGGGGCATACCTCCGTCAAGGCTGCGAGACATGGTGTACCGTTTGCTGGAGGAGCGCTCGAAGAAGGGAGCTGGGCGGTCGATGAGGGCGCTGGCCTGCCGCGTCTGCGCCTGCGTCCGCCCGCTGTAGCGAAACTTGGAGCCCATCACCAGGAAGCCCTTGGGGGGTGGCTCTGGGGACACCAGCCTAGGGGTGAGAGGGGGGGAGTGGCGTCAGCGAGCCCCAGATGTGCCCCCCGGCACTGCCCCCCACCTCTACCCACTGCGGCAGAGGCAGGAGCACGTCTGCTGCCGAGAAGGGAGGCCTGGAGAAGGTCTCCTCACCTGAAGAAGGTGTGATGCTCTATGCAGACCTTCCAGAGACGCTTGGCGGAGCGGTGGTTGGGCAGCTTGAAGCCAATGGTGCTCTCAAACTGTTCGTACTTGGGGGAGACAGAGACATGCCCTTACAGGCAGATCCTGCCCTAGAGGACATGCTGGGAGGGGACCTGCCTTGCCAGGGCCCTCAGGTTCCCCTGGCAGGAGCCATGACCATGCAAAAAAAAGTCTTCTTCAAAGCAGTGCGGGAGAGGCCCATGCAACGCCCCACTGGGTGGTGGGATCACGCCCCCGCACTTTTGGCCTAAGCACTTTCCTCAACTGTAAATGGCTTTCCAGTGCAAAATAAATTCCCTCAAGACACAAAACCTTTTACAGCTCATTTTGGCAAGAGGGCATCACTCTCCATTTTAGATGCACTGTCCTTGCCCTCCTGCCTGCTGGGAAACGTGGGTGGAAATGCATTCTCCCATCAGTGCACATAAAAGTGAAAAGAGTGAAAATGAAGTTGGAAAACGAATGAAAAAGCCTCCTGATGTTTTTTTGTGAAGCACGGAAGACACATCAAAAATGGCCCTCAACCTCCCTTCCTGGGCAACCTCCCTACACCAGCGGGGTCACGGCCTCCGGCGGGTGGGGAAAGGAGCCTGGGGTGCCCTCAGCCTGCTGAAGTCATTTTGCCAGCGACAAAATGAGAGCACGAACAAGACAGCACTTGCTGAAAGCCTCCATACGCCCCAGGAGATGTGCTCTCTTGGCCAGTGTGGTTGTTAACTCGGCACCCTTGGGGCAGAGGCTGGAGCCAGGCGAGGACCTCCCCGCCAGGCAGCCCCAGCCCAGCAGAGCAGGCACCCTGCGGTGCCCCGGGGCTGCGCTGGTGCATGGCACCCACCTCACCCGGGCGGATCTTGATGTAGAAGTTGCTCCTCTTGTAGGAAATTTTGAGGATCTTGGGCCAGGCGAAGCGGTTGATCCTCAGCCGGTCCCTGTAGATGAGGAGGCCGTTGGCGCAGACACCCAGCATGATGTCGATGCCCTCTGAGTCCTGGAGGAGGCAAGAGGGACAGGAGGGGACTGCTGAGCTGCCCAGTAAGAATCAGTCCGGCCAGCAATGCCACGCTCCCTCCTGCTCAGTGCTCTGCTACAGGGGACTGGCCGACAGAGAGGTCACTGAATCACAGACTGGTTGAGGTTGGATCTCTGGAGGTCCTCTGGTCCAACGTGGGGCCACCCAGAGCCAGCCAGCCAAGGACTGTGTCCTTGTTGAACCTTCATCGTGGGAGGAAGGAGCTGGGCTGGGAGGGGTGTGCAGGCAGCAGGGCAGGATGGAGTGGCGCTGGCCATCGCTCTGGCAGCCCCACGGCCCCATACCTTGGCGTGGTGCAGGTCCACCCCGTACATGGAGAGCTTCTTGGCGTTCTCCAGAAAGTGGATCTCCGCTTCCCCGGGGGTCATTCCCCTGCAGGGAGACAGAGATGGGGACACATGGCTGGGTGCCCCACCAGGCATGGACCAGCTGCCCCGTGCCTTCCTCGCTACCAGCCTGTCCTCTCCTGGGGCTCACCGGTAGGTCTTGTGCAACTCCATGATGCGCTCCTCCAGCTCCCGCGTCTGGTTGGGGGCGAAGCGGAGCTCGCTGACATAGTTGCCCACGTGTTCCTCAGCATCGTAGTCACCCAGCTCGGCTTGCACAGCGTAGGAGCCCAGCAGGGCATGTGTGACAAAGGAGCAGGGCAGGCGCCCCGTGATGATGTCCGCACGGAGCTGCAGGCACAGGTAGTATCTGCAGGAGGGGCAGAGGGTGAGCGCGGGGTGGAGGCACGTGCCCTCTGGAGCAGGCTGGGGCTCCCCGGGAAGCCACAGCATGCATCCCACCTTGCACTGCTCTCTGTGGGGACTGCCACCTCCCACGGCCACCTTCCTGGCCCGGCTCTGCGTGACTTAGACATGCCACAGGCAGCGGGAGGGCAGCGAGCCCCCAGACATCCCCCTGCCTGAGCCCTGCCCCTCCACACGCTCCCAGCCGGTCCCCGGGGAGCTGCTCCGGCAGCCATGCCCATGGAGGGGTGGTCCTCACCTTGTGATGTCCTCCGTGAGCTGGGCAGGGTCTGGAGGGTAAAACTTCACAGTGAAGGCGAAGTTCCAGGGCCCGCCTAGGGAGGGGAAAGAGCAGTAAGGGCAGCACCCACGCTGGCTGCACGCAGGCGTGCAGGAGCACCCGGGCATCCACTAAGGGTCCCACGACTCCCCCCCAGCCCGGCATGGGGCAGGGACAAGGGGGCTCCAGAAGGTGCTGGGAGAACAGCCATCAGGACGCCAGCATGACTTGGTTAATCCTCCCCAAACAGCGGGGGAGAAAAAAGCATCACAACTTCAGGAGCCATCAGCTCAGCGTGACTCCAGCGTCACAGCAAAGGCCTCACTTGTCCCAGAAGGTGACACCTGGGGCAACAGCCCTTTTGCTGCCCCAGCAAGGCAACATCATGGGCAAAGGCACCCCAGGACCTGTCCCAGCAAGCCCCCACTCTCCCCCCCATCCCTGTCCTCCCTGCTCAGGGCAGGTGGGGATGGTGCCCAGAGAGGGACCAGGTCTCAGCCAGCTCTCCGGTGGCATAGATGGGGTCCTTTGCCCCCCACGCCTGTCATGAGTAAAAGGAGAGGTGGGTAACAGGCAGCCAAACAAGCAACAGCATCCCTGTCCCCAGGCCAGCTCCAGTGCAGGTGGGGAGGGGACCCGCTGGAGGACAGCCACAGCCGAGCCATCCAGGAGCCCCGCAGGACGCCCCAGGGCTGGGGAGGATGGACCCTCTCCAGGCACTTACTGCGGATCTGCTTCTTGATCTCCTTGGAGGGGTCCAGCCAGTTCTGCAAGGAGGAGACAGCAGGTCAGGGGGGCCCCAGCACGGAGGGGGCGGCCCCAGAGGGACCCCCCGTGCTCACCTTCTGGCTGTCCGAGTCGCAGAAGGTGAGGCCGAAGTAGTCCTTCTCCAGGAGGTTGAGGTGCTCGCAGACCATGTCAAAGAGGACCTGGCCTCGGGCGTGCTTCTGTCGGAGACATGGAGAGACTGATGGTGAGCCCGCTCCCTTGTGCTCCTGGAGACCTGGCAGGCGCAGGCAGCACCCGCTGGGTGCAGGCAGGGAGCACTGGGGAGGGTCAGGGCAGCCCTGCCCCTCCAGGTGACCACCAAAAGGTGCTGGGCTGCCTTTGAGAGCAGCCCTCTCACCCGGCAGCACTGCTTTGCGGACACCCAGGCAGTCCCGGGGCTGCGGGGACGGGGCACGGTTGAGCCCAGCCATGGGCTGGGGAGCCGGTGCCCACCCGGCTCATCCCCCATCACACCAGGAGACAGTGATGCCAAACCAGAGAGGGGTCCAGCCAGCCCAGGCACCTCCGCTCCGGACCAGCAAGCTGGGACAAATGTGCCCCAGAGCTCGCGGCAGCCGGTGCTGCCCATGGGACACACTCCTTCCCCACACCCTCCCCACCGGTGGTGGTGGCGGCTGGGTGCTGAAGCACGGCATGACGAACGAGAGCCACGAAGAGCCTGAGCCATGCGCAGGGCTGGAGGGCACCCTTGTTTTCTGGTCCTTTGAGGTCCCCTGAATTTCCCTTCGTTACCGGTGGCAGCGAGGCCCAGGCTCGCTCATGGAGATGGAAGAACAACCCCTCCCACGTGTGTTTCTCCCCTCTTTACAGCCTTCCAGCCTGGCAGCTCCCATCTCCCCTCTCCAAGGCACCCACTTACCGGAGCAGCTTCCCCACGCGCCCCGGGGACGGCAGCCCGGGCACCAAGCGGCACAGCCCCGGCAGCTCGCTGCCCCCAGCTGCGACCCTGGGCTCCTGCTGCCCCGCAAAGCTCTTCCAGCAGCTGCACTCACCCGTCCTGGGTCTCCTCCCTGCTGACCCAGGTTTTGAAGGCAAGGGCTCACCCATGGCACGTGCCGGGGTGTCACACTGAACAGTTTGAGTCCCCTTTTTGAGTTTTACTGAATAAAGCCTTAATTAAGCATGCAGGCAAGGCACAAATATTCCCATGGGGCCCGCGAGAAAGAAAGAAGTACAGCACCAGCTTTCTACGCTAACCCTCTCCCTGATGTCCCAGGTGGCTTTTTGAGAGAGCAGCAGCTCTCTAAAAGTCGATTCCATCCTCTGCACCGCAACAGCAGAGAGCTCGTCCTTACCTGGGCCCGGCGAGGGGCACTGCTCTGCTCACGCAGCCGCCAGCGAGCCTGCAACCCGGGTCTCTGCTTGCGCACGGGTTTTGCTTGGCAAATGCTACGGGTAGGGATGACCCCGCCGGGGCTCGCGCAAGCCGCTCCTGTGCCCCGTGAGCCCCCGCCGTCCCTGGGGTGCTCCGCTCCTTTTCTTCTTCAGGAGGGCTTTTATCTTCATGACAACCCATCTTTCCACGGCTTTGTGACAAATTTTACCACTAAAGCGACAGTCGTGGCTGCTGGAGCGTGGAGATCAAAGGCCCTGCTGCCTGTGCCGCGGGCAGGGGGCCAGACCCCGCCACCGCCGGCCGCCTCGGGGTGCTCACGCCCCAGGCAGCCACAGCGAGCAGGCAGCCACGCTCCTTACATTCACCAGTCCTGCGCAGCCGCGACCCGGGGGAGGCAGGACCTGCAGACAGATGCATGCCTGCTCCGTGCACCCAGCTCCGAGCTGCTGCCAACAAAAACCCGCCTGCCCACTCGCCAGCAGCAAGTGCAAAGGTCTCCCTGGCAAAGGCTCCGGGATTGCTGCTCCTGGACAACCTCAGCTTTTGCATTTTTAAGCAAAGTTACCAGTCCTTAAAAATGTCCCTCCCACCAGGACAATGCCGCGGTCAGAGCAGCGCTGCCTTCCCCGACCTGCAGGCAGGAGACAGCGAGCGCTGGGGACAGAAACGGGGGCTCCCAGCAAGAACTTCTCCTCCCAGCTGCCTTTGCCCCTGCGGCAGGGCCACGGGACCCTTCCACAAAAACCAGCCTCAACTCCTGATTTAATCCCGGCCCCCCCCAGCCTGTCCTAGAAAGGAGAGCAGCCCTGCAGCATCGCCCAGTGCCAAGGCACTGCATCCTCGTGCGTGCAGCTACAAGGATGCGCACGTGCATCCCCCTTAGGTACGCATGCACGCACACACACGCGCGCAGGATGCTGCCAGGCTCTGACACACCTCCCCATGCCGTCCCTGGCCTGCTGGCTTTACGGGGAGGGACAGCAAGGGATGAGAAGATGGACGCAGCGAGGACGGACGTACACCCGCCTGGGGCAGCCGTGAGGGTCCACGAGTGTCGGCCTCTTCGCACCAACACGTGCGCACGCATCCTTCGCCTTAGCACGCGGGACAGCCAACGCGCTGCGCTCTTGAGGTGTCGGCAGACAGGCTGGCGCAGGGATGTCGTGCGCATACTGTCAGGCAGAGCTCCATCCCCCATCTATTAAGCTTCTGCTTTTTAGACGCTGTTTTCTATTGTGAGTAGCTGCCAAATTTGGATTCACTGGGCTGAAATTCCCTGCTAGGGTCTGTCTCTCCAGATTTTTTCCTGGTTTTGAAATTTCAACTTAAACAACTATTTCTGTGGATCTTTTTCCCTAGGAGAGAGGTACTACAAAGCTGTCCTTGGAAGAGCCCTGACATCAGGGACTCGCCGGGCTGAGACGTGTCCCCCCCTTGGTGCCAGCGCAGCCCCCTGGGGCTGGGACTCACCTCCACCTCGCATTCGTACTCGGAGGCATCGAGCAGGGTCACTCTGCAGAGGGCACTCTTCACTTTCTTGGTTTTCTGGGGTGACTTCTGGGTCTTGCTGGGGGTTGTTTTGTCAGAGAGCCCATCCGTCTCGCTGTAGTCCTTCTCCTCCATCTCTGTGCCCTGGAGTGGGGAGACACACAGAGTTACCTGGCACCACTGCCGGGATGGACGGACAGATAGATGGGGAAAGCCCTCCAACAGCAGGCAGAAGAGGGCAGCTGACAGGGGAGGGAGCCTGATGACCTCTTGGGAGTCCACAGCCCAGCCCAGTTCCCCCACCCCATGCTGCTGGCACAACCAGGGTCCCTGGAAAATGGGCGCCCGTGAGCCCAGGGTCAGCTCAGCACCCGAAACCTCCCTGCCCAACTGCCTGGCGCAGCAGGCAGGGCCAGGGCAGCACCGTGCCTGCGGGCAGCGGCGCAGCTCCCTGGCGGCTCCGAGCCCGGCACCGGGGTGCAGCCGCTGCTCCCAGCCCTGCCAGGGGCAGCTTGGTCCTGGGACACGGGGCCACCCGCTCCCTCCCCCGCGCTGGCTGGCAGCCGCGGCAGTGCCATTTCCAGCACAGTCAGCACTTCGGGCTGCCGTACTGCTCCTTCTGCCTGCCCTGCCTGCAAGGACCCGTGCAGGCAGCTGGGATGAGCTGGCAGAGCCCATCCACTGCACTGGTCGTAGGAGCCTCCCCCCGGGCTGCTCCCCCGGGGCTGACAGCGCAGGGGAGGTGCCCACCTCACCGGGCTCCCTGCAGCCCCCCCACTGCAGCAAGGACATGGCGATGGGCAGCAGAGAGCGGTGGCACGTCCCCTTCCTCTGCTGTGCTCTCCTCTCTGCCGCATCTCAGGGCACACAGCCATCGCCCACTCACCGGCTCCGTATTTCGGGCATCGGACGGTGCCCCGGGCTTCTCATTGGCCTCAGCGTCCCGGCCGGCGGGGTTGGTGGCTGCGGCAGTGGGGCCGTGTGCGGCCGCCTCCAGTTGCTGCTGCGGAGCCTCCTCCTGCGCGTTCTTCACCTCGGAACCGGGGCCCGTCTCCGTTGTCATGGCCGCTTGTCACCCTGCTCTGCCACCGCCACCCACAAGGAGAGACAGGAGGTGTCACCCAGGCGCACGGGGATGGAGGATGCCGGCCGGCAGCCAGCAGCCCGGGATGCCCCGGCCGCATGGGCAGGTGTGGGACCTGCCCGTCTCTGCCCGCTGCCTGCATGCACAGATCCGCTGCCAGCCAGCTCCCTGTCTGCTCCGGGAGGTGGCTTCGCAAAGGGCTGGTGGCAGCAGCACAAGATGTCAGGATTTCATACTCAGTTGAGCTGCAGAAGAGGTGTGGGGAGGGACAGGGGTGGCAGGGCCCCACTGTGACTGGGGCACGGGGCTCACGCCTCATCCCCGCACTCACAGCAGGGAGCCCAGCTGGCCGTAGCCCCCTGCTCCCCCAGCCCCGGGGCCTTCGGGCCCTTCCCTAGTATTTTTTAATGAGTGGAAGGGTTTATTCTGGGAGGAAAAACCAGGCTGTGAGTTGGGTTAAAGGCTGCACTGACACAGCAAATTGTAAACATGGACAACTCCACATACTGCATCCGGGATGGCTGGTTTTTTCCCCTCTGGACTTCCCAGCAGCAGCAGCACACTGGGTTCCCACGGCCGGCGTGGCCAGACCCTGCGTGGCGGCGGGACAAAGCCTGCCTGCAGCTCCAGCTGCCTGCCCTGTGTGAGATGCAAAAACAAACCCGGGGCCAGGACCAGGGAAGGGGAAGGCACTTTCCGTGCTGGGGTGCTCGGTAACATGTTTTTGCAACCTTTATGTTTTTGCAACCTTTATGCAAATGCAGCATGGGGCTGGCGAGGGCTCCTGGGATGGTCCACGCACGCACGGGTCATCGAGCACCCTTTGTGACCGTCACCCATCTGCCACTCGGGCTGCTCAGGCCCCACCAGCTCCCCACCGCTGGGCTCCCTGGGCCGTGTCCAGCCGCGCAGGACCAGCTGGGATCGCTGCCACCAGAGTGCCTGGGGGCTGTGGCTGGACGAGCTGGCTCTGTCGGCAGCATCTGCCCATGGTCGCATCACCCACCTTGCCCACAGAGCAGCCACACAAGCAGCCCTGAATAATGCCTGCGACACCAGAAAAACTGCACTTTTTTGGTGTGTGGAAGCCCACAGGGGATATTTCCGATTCCCGTTTCTGGAATGACAGCCCACGTGGCGTGGGCAGGGAGCCAGCTTCTCCCTGGGCCGCCAAACCCCAGGCTTTGCCCCAGCCCCGGCAGTGCTAACGCAGGGATGAGGTCCCAGCACAGCTCCAGGCCACGGACCCGGCCACGCCGGGGCTGGAGGAGGTGCTTGGCGACATGACATCCCACCACCATCACCTCCTCTAAGTCCCAATTACCTAAACGCGGTTCTAGCAGGTATGGGAGAGCAAGAGCCTGGTCAGGACCACGACCTAAGGCAGCCAGCGAAAGACCACTTTTAGAATCACAGAATAGTTTGGGTTGGAGGAGATCTTAAAAGACCACCTAGTTCAAGCCCCCTGCCGTGGGCAGGAACATCTTTCACCAGATGCCATTGCTCAAAGCCCCGTCCAACCTGACCTTGAACGCCTCCAGCGATGGGGCATCCACAGCTTCTCTGGGTAACCTGCTCCGGTGTCTCACCACCCTCGTGGTAAAACATTTCTTCCTTATGTCCAGTCTAACCCTACCCTCTTTCAGTTTAAAACCGTTGCCCCTTGTCCTGTCCCTACAGGCCCTGGTAAAAAGTCTTTCTCCATCTTTCTTATAAGCCCCCTTTCAGTACTGAAAAGCCGCAATAAGGTCTCCCTGGGGCCTTCTCTTCTCCAGGCTGAACAACCCCAGCCCTCAGCCTCTCTCCATAGCAGAGGTGCTCCAGCCCTCCAACCATTTCCATGGCTTCCTCTGGCTCCGCTCCAACAGGTCCACGTCTGTCTTGCACTGGGGACCCCAGAGCTGGACGCAGGGCTCCAGGGGGTCTCCCCAGAGTGGGGCAGAGGGGCAGGATCCCCTCCCTCGCCCCGCTGGCCACGCTGCGGGGATGCAGCCCAGGAGACGGTTGGCTTTCTGGGCTGCAAGCGCACATTGCCGGCTCACATCCAATTTGTCACCCACCAGTGTCCCCAAGTCCTTCTCTGCAGGGCTGCCCTCAACCCATCCATCCCCAGTCTGTGCTGGTACTGGGGACTGCCCCAGCCCAGGCGCAGGACCTTGCGCTTGGCCTGGCTGAACTTCATGAGGTTCTCATGGGCCCACTCCTCCAGCCTGCCAAGGACCCCCTGGATGGCATCCCGTCCCTCCTCTGGAGGGCATCCCGTCCCTCTGCTGAATCAACTGCACCGCTCAGCACGGTGCCATCCACGGACTTGCTGACTTTCTTTTACAAAAAAGCACATCTCGCACCACAGCTCACGTCCCACCTCTGCCTTTCAGGTGTCCTCAGTGCAATGGGGAGATGTGAAACCTTACCCAGAAAAACTGCTAAAACTGGCTCCCGGGGGTGGGAGAGGACAGCCAGGGGGCGAGGGAAGGGACGGGCAGAGGAGATGGAGCGGGTCTGCCTGCGCCTCCCGCAGCCAGGCGCAGCCTGCCCGGGAGCAGCCCTCTCCCTGGCCCGGTGGGCAGTAACGCTGCTGCTGGCCGCGCTGGCCGTGCAAGCGCTGTGCCTCACCGCAGAGGGACTTGGTTCACCCCAAAAGAGCCGGGATTTCACCCCCCTGCCCCAGCGCCACGCTCTCCTGGCCAGAACAGGCAGGACAACCTGCCACCAGCCCCTGAGAAACATCAGCCCAGCATCTCCTAACAGACCCCAGTGCTCGGCCGAGGGCACGAGAAGATTTCAAAGGTCACCAGTGGTTTATTTTTCTGCAGAGGAAACAGGGCCGCTGTTTTTCCACTGCAAATTCAAGCAGTTGCACGCTCCCAGCTCCAATCCCTGTGTGGATCATTCCCAACCGCTTCCGTTTGGATCTCAGCGTGTGAATTTTTTAATCGACATGAAATCTCTAAAATGACAACCATCACTTTGGGCCAAAAACCCGCTGAGTTTTTCGCTTGAGATTTCTAAACTTTTTTCCAAACTGTTTTTACCCTGCGCTGGCAAGCACCGCTCCCTGAGGACACGATGGGGGTTGTTTCAGGGTGGCAGGCTGGGAATTCATCCCACCCCTCCCAGCCAGCCCTACTTTTGCACATTAAGCTCCAGTTCAAACCTTCTAACGATGGGGAAGGAGCCTGATCCAGAGATGCTGACTGCCAGCTGAAGCAGGTGAGAGCGTGACACAGGAGGGCCGGGGTGGCGGAGCCCCGGCGAAGGGGCCTGGCAAGCCCCCAGGGACCATCTCCCTGCTCCCATTGTGGCCCCCCGGGAGACCCCGATGTGGGGGGCCAGGGGTCCCGGCATGCTGCCAAAGAGACATATTTGCCATCACAAACCTTTAGAAGAGGTTTAGACCACAACTACAGCAAACTTGATTGAGACCAGTGGAAACGCTGTCCCAAATCATACCATCATGGAATCACAGAACGGTTTGGGTTGGAAGGGACCTTAAAGACCATCTGGTTCCAGCCCCCCGCCGTGGGCAGGGACACCTTCCACCAGACCAGGGTGCTCAAAGCCCCGTCCAACCTGGCCCTGAGCACTGCCAGGGATGGGGCAGCCCCAGCTTCTCTGGGCAACCTGTGCCAGCGCCTCACCACCCTCACGGGGGAGAATTTCTTCCTTGTATCTCACCTGAACCTGCCCTCTCTCAGTTGAAAGCCATTCCCCCTTGTCCTGTCACTGCCGGCCCTTGGAACAAGTCCCTCCCCAGCTTTCCTGCAGGCCCCTGCGGGCACTGGGGGGCTGCTGGAAGGTCTGCCCGCAGCCTCCCCTGCTCCAGGCTGAGCACCCCCAGCTCTCGGCCTGTCCTCGCAGCAGAGCTGCTCCAGCCCCCGATCACCTTCGTGGCCTCCTCTGGCCCCACTCCAACAGGTCCATATCCTAAAATCATTTAATTTTTTTCTAAATATTACCCACAGCAGGAGCAGGACCCAATCCCGCAGGGCAAGCAGCCTGCTTGGGCTGTCCCAGCCCTTCCCAGCACCTAGCCTTGCTCACGCCTGTTCCCTTGGGAGCGAAGCCAGGGCCGGAGCAGCTCCTGCACTGAGGCCGGCAGCTGCCCGGGCAGCGGCTGGCAGAGGCAGGAGGCAGCGGGCGCCATCTCCCCAGACCCTGGCTCTGCAGGGCGCTGGCTGAAGGGCTCCTCCGCACCCACGGTCCCCAGTGCCACGTGCCAAGCACAACTCCGGTTGTTAGCAAGGGCTGGCTCGCTTCTGCTGCAGCTGGACCCAAAATGGGCTGGGGGATATTCTCCTCAGGGCAAACATCAGGTGAAATGGCTGGAGCCGGTTGGAGCTCCAGGCTACCGAAACAGGCAGGTGGGAACAGCGACTGCAAAGAAAGCCTTAGCAGGATCAGAGGCAGAGCTGCTTGTCATGCTTATAATCTCCTCCCATCATCTTCCTGCCTGCTCCTCCTTCCCTTGGTGTTTTCCTCTTCCCCCCTTCAAGCTGGAGTGTGGATTCACGGCTTTCCCAGACGCTCTGCCCCCGCACTTCCCCAGCATATCCCAGCTCCAGCCTCCGCAGCACTCCGCTCCCAGAGCCTTTCCTTCCCTGCCGCCTCCAAATGGGGTTTCGCCCGAGCCTGCTTTCCCCTTCCCCCTGCCCATTCACTCCCTGCTGCTGGGCTGGTTTGCAAGGCTGAGCATCCCCCTTTGCTCCTGGGCTCTGCTTTCCCCCCGCGCTCCCTGCTGCGGACGCTGCCTCTCCATGACGCCTCGCTCCCGAAGCATCGCGGACACGGGCAGGCACCAATCTCTGTGCACAGCCCCATGCCGAGTGCCCGAACAGGTCTCTGTGGGCTCCAGCACAACTGGGGTGCACAGAGCTGGGCAAGAACCAAGCACCCTCCTCCCTTGCTGCTGTTCGGCAGCTGCCGAGGGCCCCGTGGGGCTGATCCTGGCAGCAAAGCCCACCGCCATGCTGCGGGAC